TGGACACCTATTTAAATTATACATTCTTATGAAATAATGTGTCCAACATAAAGAGGTTTTATTGTAATATTATATTTAAACTCAGAGTTAAAATTTTAGGTGAATGTACTACGTTATTGTAATTGAAGTATGTCTATTCAATGATGCATTAAATAACAGATTGTAAACCAACCAAATAATAAGCAGAATATTCATCTAATATTGTGCAATGATTAGTGAAAAATATTGCATTTGAGTTCCAGTTCTCTAAAACTTCAAAGCCTTTTACTAATCAAAGCAACAGCAAACACAGTGGAGGATGCAGATGAAGGGTATTGGGGACGCATTCACCCATTCTTTCTTTATTCTTATTAAACCAATCATTTGAATTACCTTTAGCTATGTAATTTTATACATCTTTTCTTTATTAGTTTTTAAGACCAATAATTTTTAGAATTTTTAGATGAATTTAAAGTGCACAGATCATAATCTAGATCTATCACTACATGTATACATACATCATATCTTCAGTTCTTAATTGACTTTCTATCTTAATACTATTGTGTGTGTTTTAATAAGTTTAATAAGTTACAAAAAAATTAGTTTATTAAAAAAATTACTCAACCACTTATCCTCAGCAGTAACGTAAACCACATAAAACACCTTATTTTGCCTAGGAAAATGTTTAACAATCACAAAGATTTTTCATGGCAAAATAAGATGTTGTATGTGGTTTAAAAATTACTTTTAGGAGCCGTCCATAAATTACGTAAAAGCGATTTTGGCCATTCTAGACTCCCACCCACCCCTGTGTAAGAAACCGTAATAGTTTCTTTGATCCCTCCCTTCCCTATCTTATGTAATATTTTGGCATGATTTTATAGAAAGATTTTAACAAAAAAAATGTTTTTTTATGAAACCCTAAAAACCTTAGGTCCAAAATATATAATTATTAATTAGTTAATTAATATGTACTATTATTTATAAAAGACTTTATGTGAACAAATTTAAAAATATAAACATTTAATGAATTTGAATAAACAATTTATTTTAAGAACTTTATTTTTTAATTATTAACATTATTATTATTATTATTAACATCATAATATTTATTTTTGTATTAATTTTAATTTTCGCAAAAGACGCAAAAAACTTTGCCAGATCGACTAGCTAGTGCACTTGTCAACAGAAACGTCATACAAAATAAAACAAGAGAAAATAGAAACCATATTCCATTGCCATATTAATTACATCTTGAATAAGGTTAATAAAATAAACTATATGCTGCTAAAATGTGCTAGGAGCATCTGGAGACTAAATCATAAAGCTTGTAAAATTCTATATAATGGGGCAATACAACCAATGCTACTTTACGCGGCCTCTGGCTGTGGTCATTAACTAGTAAAAATTCAGTAGCAAGTAAATTACTCTCTCTTCAAAGCCAGTCTGACATCAGAATTTCAAAGTGCTGCAGAACTCTTTTTACTAATGCCTCTCTGATACTAGCATAGTTCCTTCCTTTGCCACTATGTATTGTAGAAAAGGTTCTAAACTACTACATCAGAACTACAAACGTCAAGGCTCAACAACAGTCTCTACTTCTATCTATGGCTGTTTGTATGCTACCACAAACACCTTGTTTACAGGATGATTATCTCGGATCATCATCCTGTAAACAAGGTTATTTGGTGTCATCTGCTTCCTCCGTGGATAAACATGTGGACATTAATATCTACACAGATGGGTTCAAAAGATCCCTTATTGTTGGCTCAAGTATCTGTATCTTCCTGTAAACTGACATATTTTGCCAAAAATATGTTAGAAGGTACCAGATACCTCCTACATACCTCCATCTATCAAGCTGAAGAAGATGCTGACTACCAAGCTGTTCAGTGGGCCACTTCACTACCAAACAAAACTCTGTCTATCAACATTTACAGTGATTCTCAGTCTGTCCTAAAAGCTCTATTAAATCCCAATTGCAATAGCAATAAAATCACATATATCCAACATCATATTAAAAATCTTGTAAATAAGATAATTTTTATATTTGTTCCTGGCCATACTGGCATATTAGGAAATGAAAAAGCCAACTTTGAGGCTAAGTCAGTTGGACTACACTCAATCCCTCGCTCACGTACCAGCCTTAAAAATTATATTCATGACAACACTATGCAAAAGTGGTGGAATCAGTAAAAGTAGTTGAGCAGTAAAACTGGTAGAATAACAAGACTTTATTTTCCTAGTGTTGTATGTAGATTCTCATCACCACTTAGAGATGTAACATTTGCTACGGCTCAACTACTTACTGAGCATGGTAATTTTAGAAGCTACCTGGCGATGTATAACCGGGCAGAAACTGCTTCTTGCTTTTGCTCTACAAAAAATCTAGACACCGTCTACCATATATATGATCTATCATTGTCCAATTTATGATCGACATATACTTATTCTGAAATTAGAAATTTTTTGCTGGTTTCAGGTGGCCATATCCACTCGATAAGCTTGTTCAGAAATCACAATTTGATGCTTTTTACAGTTATGTTCAAACAATATGGAAGAAAAGACTATTTATAATTTATAATTTCTAGTTTTACATTTTNGTATAAACATATAGATTATTTATATTTTTGGGACACACTGTTCCAAATGAGACAGATATAGAGAAAAGATTAGCCAAAGAGTGCAAATTGGTGAAGAATGCTAAAAATGTGGTGGACAGAAAAAAATTATATTTATGTTTAAATATCACCAAAGTGTATTTAAATAATACACTTAAATGATTATTTTGTTTGTATTTTTTCCATAAATATTTAGATGATCAACTTCATTGACTCTGACATTGGGAAATGAAAATAATGAAGATGCCTTCATCATTTAACAGCAGCAGTGCCCACAGACTATGATAATGGGAGACACAAGCTATAAAAAAGAACATCATACATTATGCAAGGAGCTTCAAATTGTATGATTCAATGTTGGATCAGCACTCCCACAAGGTGGTGCCAGTTGCACTCTGCCTCAAAAACAAGGAATGGGGTTTTGGTCGACACATGACGAGGTTGCATGGGTCACTAGACAAATATCATTAATTAGTTTCTTTTATATTTGATGAACTGGCTAGAAGTCACAAGTTTTCTGTAGTTTGAGGCCTGCTTGGGGATTAGGAAGAGACAAAAAGGCAAAAAAGGCATAGGCACTTGCCCCAATATATGGGCATCCTTGTTTAACAGTCTGCTGTTCATGTATGAGGTCTGTTCAAAAAATAACTGAACTTTTTAAATTGGGCAAAAATGAAGTGTCTTAGTGCCATGACGTTGACAATACTGTTTGTGATAACCTACCAAGTAAGCTGCTTTTTCAGATTATTGATATCTTATTTCATTCCCACTTTATTGTTTTTTGAGTGAAAGGTATTTTAGTGTTCATGGCAATTTTTGCAATGTGCGATTTATGGAATAAATGATGCAATGTTAACTTTTGTGTGAAACTGGGGAAAACTTTTATGGAAACATTTCAACTTTTGAATCAAGCTTATGGAGGCAATGGTCTAGGTCATACACAGTGTTATGAATAGTTTATCCGATTCCAAAATGGTTATCAATTAGTTGAAGATGACCCTCAACCAGGAAAGCCTTCGACCTTAACTGATGACACTTGTGTTCAGAAAATCAGTTGCGCATTTTGAATTTTTGCCTCAAAGTCAACCATCAGTACTGCCAAGGTGTTTTGAAACAATTGTGTGAAAATATTTGCAAGAAGAGACCAGATTTGTGGCTAGACAACTCATGGTTCCTCCACCATGACAATACACATACTTAGCCATGTCAATTTGACAGTTTTGTGCCAAAAATCAAATGACTGTCCTCCCCAGCCTCCCTATTCACCAGACCTGGTTCCTTGTGATTTTTTTTTGTTTCCAAAATTAAAATCAGTCTGAAGGACACCGTTTTGACACAATTGATGACATTAAAATAAATCTGTCACAAGCATTGAAGGACAGTCCAAAGCAAGCTTACCAGGACTGTTTTGCTAAGTGGAAACACTGCTGGGATAAGTACATGAATAGGGGAGGGGTGTACTTTGAAGGGAACAAGGACCAATAATCTGTAACTTGAATAATAAAAATAAAAAAAATAAAGTTAGGTTATTTTTTGAACAGACCTCATATAATTCTTGGTAATCACACAGACTTGTTCTCAGTAATAAGCAGTTTCAGAAATATCAGAAGCAGTATCAGATTAATGATTATTAAGAAATACAAGAGATCATAATACAATTTGTATATCAAAGTAGCAGCATTTATTTCGATGTTCTGTTTGAAAAAAGAAAATGTTCACTTATATCTTTCTTGATTCTCATATTTTAATTGGTTTATGCTTTTCATAACTAACAGAAAATGGCATTTATCCATGTGATTTTACTTTACTGAATGCTGATAATGTGATATCCAATTTCTTATAATTGATTCTAAATGACTTTGTCTAATATGTTTCACTTATTATATATGAAAATATTATCAATTGATGCTTTTGATTTTCTGTATTGCTTTGCTACAAACAGTTTAAAGAAAGATGAATGAAACATTTACAAGTTATATGTTATGATTCAATTACTTCCAACCACTTAATTAAAAATAATTGGAACAAACAATAACATAAAACTGTTCCAAACAAATTTAAATCATTCTTAATCTTGATTTGACAATGTTCAGAAATAAACTAGTTATTAATGAACAACATTGGACTTGGAGTAAGTTTGTTTGGCTTTAAACAATAATTTTTTTATAAAATTAGGAGTTTTATAAATCTGGAGATAAAAGTTTCATCATAAAGTATTATTTACAACTCTTTCTGAACTTACTACATAATCCAATATAAATTAAATAGCTGCAATAATTTCAGATTTAATACAAATGAAAATACAGGTAGATGTTGGAATATTAAATTGTTTTATTTATACTTTGTACTAAAATAAATGAGTTTTATAAGATGAAACTAAAAGTTATCACAAACACTTACCTGAAAACAGTTTTTGCAATCTGATCGCTGAAACGAACACATTTTTTGGGCTTTTCACCCGAACTGTCAAATGATCCCACGGGAGTGCAGTCGTTATCTAGCGACGACCAAAATGTATCGTCGCTAGATTCCGATATGGTTCTCCAGTAACAACGGGGATATTTCAGAATTCCTCTCTTCTTCTGTAATGGACTCTGATTCTGAGAAAAAATAACATATAAAATATAAGAAAACAACAAACTTTTTTTGCATCATTGTTGTTATTAAATATCTCTACCTGATCCTCACTGGATCCGGAGGATGTTCTTAGTTTAGTGGAAGAATTCATTATTGTTAGCATATCTTGTTTGGATTCTAAAATGCATTTAAAAAATTAAAATATATTTAGTTTCTTTAAATTTCTATGAAATGTTTAAAGGTTACAATAATGCATTTTCCATGATTATCAATTTATAAAATATAATTTTAAATTGGAGACAGAATTTATTTTAGAAGTAATTCATCAATGTTAACAACTGTATAAATTTTCACATAATTTTTTGTAAATATGGTGAAAAATATTGATATGAAATTAAGTCAAACAATCTGTTTCTTATTACTCAAAGCATAAATGTAGTTAATGACTTCAATGATATTCAATTCTTTTTCTTGTGATTGACTTTTATTGTAAATACATTAATCAGAAATCTTGTAATATATCAGTTATAATATACTCAAAGTTTTTCTTGGTGTAACTTTGAATTTAATGATTAATTTAATATTATTATTAACATGAATTAATGACCAGGATGTATTTTAGACAGTCTGTTCAGTGAACTGAACTATCTGCTTCACATTTGGTAGCTAATCAAACTTTTCTATCAATGCTTGTAAAGATGTTTGTCTAGTAGAAGACAGGAATTTCATTGATGGTTTTTTTCCTCCTCATTTGTTTACTATTCTGGAGAATATTTCGTTTCCCACCTGAACTCATAAAATTTTCATTCAGAGAAGCCAAGAAATTCTCAATAGAGTTCAGTTGGAAACATTTCTTCTTGAACAGCCAATTTTCAACTCATCGGATTTTGTGAAAATGGTTCTTGTGCTGAGGCTAAATTGAGTCAAAATATATAACTGTCATTGTTTGGTTAATTTTGCCTTAGGTACAAAACAGAAGAGCTTCAATATACTTGCAATGTTAATATATGTTTTGGAATTAACTGCACCCTGTGAGGTTACATAAAAAAGTGTAAAAAGTCTCTTTGGTCCATCACTATCTACACCAGGATCTTTGTACAACTTGCCTTTCCTTTTGAATTTTAGATCCAGTTTATTTCTTTTCCCCTCTTCTAAAAGTATTTGAACTTCTTATTACAGATGAAAGGGCAATAAGTTTCATCATCCATGATATCCATTTTAAATGACCCTTTTCTTGTCTCTTTGAATGCCAAAGCTGCCTTTTGCTCTGATCTGGAATGACTTTGGGTGCTGATTTCTGGGACTTTTCTTCATACTCAAGGCCCTCCACAATCCATTTCATCATTTTGTCCAAACATCCAAACTTTTTCCTGCCATCCATTGGTAACTTGCATCTACTGTTGTCAAGATGTGCTCTAGAGATCTTTGTTTATTTTGGTTCAATGTGACAACTGGACAGCCTGATCCTTTCTTCCATTTGGCCCCATTATCTTCCTTAAGCTTCTTTTTTACTTTATGACCCATGAACAAGGAACCATTCTCAACAAACTTTACCACCTCTGAAACAAGTAATTTAAGATGCATCTCAACAAACAATCCCTTTTTGCCTTTTAACTTCTTGTTCACTGACAGTCATTTCTCACCTGTGATTATGTGATATTTTATTGTTGAATAAATATTACCACCAAGGATAGCAATCAGTTTCAAATCTCTGGTGGTATTTTTCAATTCTAAAGCTAATATTTCACAGGTTGCCAAACCTTGTTAGTTTTCTCTTAGCACACTACATTAGTAAAGGATAACACACACACGGGTATCCACAGAGGAAAAAGGAAAACAAATTTTGGAAGCCTGTAATCAGGGAGTCAACGATGACATTCAAATTTTGATCCAATAGTGGAGCCTTCATTATAAGATCAAAATTTGAATGTCATAAAAAATAGCCAAAAAGGCTTAAAAATGCTATATATATATATATAAACTTATCATTTACCATCAACTATAATAAAACCATGTGAACAAGTACAAAAATAGTATAAAATACTAAAAGCTTCACAAAACTATTCAACAAAAGAAAAATAAATGTAAATGTATAAAATGAAGCATAAAACACATGCCACAAGATAGAAACAGCTAGTAGAAAATATAAAATAGCAACATGAAATACATTGATATGTTAAAATTATATATATATATATGGCCAACAGCCACACCAGTCTTTGTGCCAGATGTAGTCTTCCATCTTCCAGCCCATATCATGTTGACCTTATCATTATCAAAACTTATATATGTATATAGTCATAATTCTATTCTATTTCAGTGATTTCCTCTATTTCTTTCTTCTATCCGTTCCTGGAACTTTCTGAGAGGACCGTTATTGCCTTTGGGTAGGATTAGCCATTCCACGAACAGGAGGAGAACGATAGGAGGTAGGGTGGCCGGGTGAAAAACAACTGATGAGTTGATCAGTTTTTGGACTGGAGACCAAAGGGGTTAGATGCATCTTTAAGAAGGTCGAAGGGAGATCTAAACGAGAGGATTGTGAGGACAAATACTGTTAAGAAAGGAGGTACGAAAGGAGATCCATACTAGCAGAAGGCTCAAAAATGTTTTTTTGAACCTCAGAGAGGATTGAATAGTTTGGTACAGGAAGAAGGATCATACTTAAGCATTGAATTAGGAAGAGAAGTTGAAAATCAACAACCCTGCGGTCAGCAAAGGAATCGACAAGACGGCAAGTACAATAACCTCCAAAAGAACTCCTACCCAAAGGGCATACAAGCACAGACAAAAGAACAAATCCAGGGTGACTGTAGACTTCCATTCTTCCTCCTTCCTTGCTTTCATATCCCTATTTCTCTCTTTAGGTTAAGTTAAATTTAAGAGTTAGTTAAGTAAGATTTACATATGCAGTTAGGCTAAGAAAACTGTTATGCAACTATTCTGCAGAAAGTTATATTACTGAATTGTATGAAAACCCAACAAAGAAAAAAAAATCCTGACGTGACACACCTCAAATTTTGTAAAGTTTTACAAGAACAGTTGGAATTCCTTAGAACCTAACCTATTCGTCATGAATAAAGAAAGGATTGTGTAACCTAAAAAGTTGTTGTGTGCCTTTCCTTTTGTTTGTATGTTTCCTTCGTGGGCAATATCACATCACATCATGAACCATCACACTGGTGCCACAGCAACTACCTTTGTACAGTCAAACAATTGGCATTGATAACACAGCAGTACATTTCACTCAAGCTGTGGTGTCACCACTCCCCAAACAACTGTTTCATTTAATTAAGCAGTTGCTCCATGCATCTTGGACACCTATTTAAATTATACATTCTTATGAAATAATGTGTCCAACATAAAGAGGTTTTATTGTAATATTATATTTAAACTCAGAGTTAAAATTTTAGGTGAATGTACTACGTTATTGTAATTGAAGTATGTCTATTCAATGATGCATTAAATAACAGATTGTAAACCAACCAAATAATAAGCAGAATATTCATCTAATATTGTGCAATGATTAGTGAAAAATATTGCATTTGAGTTCCAGTTCTCTAAAACTTCAAAGCCTTTTACTAATCAAAGCAACAGCAAACACAGTGGAGGATGCAGATGAAGGGTATTGGGGACGCATTCACCCATTCTTTCTTTATTCTTATTAAACCAATCATTTGAATTACCTTTAGCTATGTAATTTTATACATCTTTTCTTTATTAGTTTTTAAGACCAATAATTTTTAGAATTTTTAGATGAATTTAAAGTGCACAGATCATAATCTAGATCTATCACTACATGTATACATACATCATATCTTCAGTTCTTAATTGACTTTCTATCTTAATACTATTGTGTGTGTTTTAATAAGTTTAATAAGTTACAAAAAAATTAGTTTATTAAAAAAATTACTCAACCACTTATCCTCAGCAGTAACGTAAACCACATACAACACCTTATTTTGCCTAGGAAAATGTTTAACAATCACAAAGATTTTTCATGGCAAAATAAGATGTTGTATGTGGTTTAAAAATTACTTTTAGGAGCCGTCCATAAATTACGTAAAAGCGATTTTGGCCATTCTAGACTCCCACCCACCCCTGTGTAAGAAACCGTAATAGTTTCTTTGATCCCTCCCTTCCCTATCTTATGTAATATTTTGGCATGATTTTATAGAAAGATTTTAACAAAAAAAATGTTTTTTTATGAAACCCTAAAAACCTTAGGTCCAAAATATATAATTATTAATTAGTTAATTAATATGTACTATTATTTATAAAAGACTTTATGTGAACAAATTTAAAAATATAAACATTTAATGAATTTGAATAAACAATTTATTTTAAGAACTTTATTTTTTAATTATTAACATTATTATTATTATTATTAACATCATAATATTTATTTTTGTATTAATTTTAATTTTCGCAAAAGACGCAAAAAACTTTGCCAGATCGACTAGCTAGTGCACTTGTCAACAGAAACGTCATACAAAATAAAACAAGAGAAAATAGAAACCATATTCCATTGCCATATTAATTACATCTTGAATAAGGTTAATAAAATAAACTATATGCTGCTAAAATGTGCTAGGAGCATCTGGAGACTAAATCATAAAGCTTGTAAAATTCTATATAATGGGGCAATACAACCAATGCTACTTTACGCGGCCTCTGGCTGTGGTCATTAACTAGTAAAAATTCAGTAGCAAGTAAATTACTCTCTCTTCAAAGCCAGTCTGACATCAGAATTTCAAAGTGCTGCAGAACTCTTTTTACTAATGCCTCTCTGATACTAGCATAGTTCCTTCCTTTGCCACTATGTATTGTAGAAAAAGTTCTAAACTACTACATCAGAACTACAAACGTCAAGGCTCAACAACAGTCTCTACTTCTATCTATGGCTGTTTGTATGCTACCACAAACACCTTGTTTACAGGATGATTATCTCGGATCATCATCCTGTAAACAAGGTTATTTGGTGTCATCTGCTTCCTCCGTGGATAAACATGTGGACATTAATATCTACACAGATGGGTTCAAAAGATCCCTTATTGTTGGCTCAAGTATCTGTATCTTCCTGTAAACTGACATATTTTGCCAAAAATATGTTAGAAGGTACCAGATACCTCCCACATACCTCCATCTATCAAGCTGAAGAAGATGCTGACTACCAA